CCTGTGGGCCATGCTCTACGCTGACGACGCGGCCATCGTCTCGCGCTCGCCGGAGAGTCTCGAGAAGATGATGTCGGTCATCGTGCGTGTGGCCGGCCTGTTCGGACTGATGGTATCGGAGCTAAAGACGTAGATCATGCGCATGCTGCCGAAAGGGATCGAGGAACGCCCGTTCACGGTCAGCGCCGCCGGCCAGACGTACAAGCAGACAGATCGGTTTGTGTATGTTATGGGCAAGAAAAACGATTTTGGAGGGTATTTTGCTTAGTTTCTTGGGGGACAATCCAACCATACGATTCAAAAATAAACTGCGGCAATCGATTCCTCTCGTGATTTGCCACCGACGTTTTTTTTTTCCGATTTTCAAAAAAAACTCGGGTTTCGGAGATATTTCGGGCGGTTTCACACGCCCTCGAGGAATTTTGTCCCGCCACACACACACCAGAGACACACACACACACCCTTTATGCACGCTACGAAAGGCGCACACGCGCTCCGGGCACATGGGTCGCCCAAGAAAGGGAAAGCGCAAGCGGGCAAAGAACGCCGACGGCACGATTCGGAAGGCCCCTTCCCCCCCTGCGGACCCTGCTGTGGGCAATGTACATATGATTCATGTGTCGCGGTGTGTTGTACCGTTGGCTTCTCGCGTTTAGGCGCTGTAGAGGCGTTCGTCATGGTGACCAACTCAACGATTTGGCTGTCTCTCTTCGTGTCGGACTTGGTTAGAGAGAACGGATGTGCTGATTGCTGCATGCTTTGGATTACAGCAGCTTCACCACGCAAGGGTTGGGTAGAGAGTTACGGCGGTATTGTATGTAACGTGTAAATAATGTAGGTTTGGATTGACAACGGTTTAACTGATGTTATGAAGGCAAATACGTGCAACAGGGAGGGGTTTGGGGGGGTTCGTGGTGTACTTTGGGGCTCCGTGGGGTCATGAGGGGGGGTTCCGTGGGTCATTTTGGTCAAAAATGTCGCATTTCACCCAATCACCAAAAGCTCATCGGATATGGACGAAGCTCGACGCCGCGGTCACGGCCAAAGTTGTGTCACTTTCCAAATCGTTTTTTTTCGAAAGTTATCGTGAAAAACAAGAATGTGACTATTTGCCCGAACGGACCATACAACAGCAGTCAGTCCATGCCGGCCTTGCAGCCGCTTTGCCCATGCGCGTGAAATTTGTTTCATCGAATGGCTTGGCATTTTTTAGGATTTTCCGCTCAATCACCTGACCGAAGCCCACCCCTGCTTTAACAACACGCGGTGACCTCCAGGGCAGATCGCCCCTTGGTCTCACAGGAGCAGCTGCAGTGTGCGCTTTTCTTGTTGCTGCTTGCTGCTGCTGCTGGTGGTGCTGATATTGTACTCCAGTACGTCATCACCGCCGTTGTTGCTTATCCAATCCCCCGATGAAACTCCCCCACAATTTCTTGCTTACTTTGCTACTGCTGCACTGCTGTACGATTCAATCCCGCTCCTCAAACCCTAGATTTCCTTCGTTCAATCTTGCATACACGTTCGCGTTATGAAAGGAAACGTTTCGGCCAATTGTTGTGAGCCGACCAAATTTATTTTCTCAAAAACAATATTTTCTCCATCATCGGGAGCGCCTGTTAGTTGGTGAGCGTGGAAGATGCCCCTTCAAGACACAAAACACAAAGACACACGATGTGTGAATCCAGCTCCAGACAGCACACACGCCGGGATCGGGTGTCGCATGGGACACACCACATTCTCGGGCCAGTCAAGACAGATCCGGACAAATATTCAAGAAGCAACATATCATGGAAGAAGCTCCGACTCCGAAGCACAAGCCATTCCGTCAGAAGACAGGGCGGTACCACATGTTCTTTGACTTGTACAGGCTCATGACCTTGGCACGAACACGAGTTGAACCAGAAACAGAAACAAACGAACGCCGGGAGGGGTTGAGACAAGGAGCCCTTGTCACTTTTGCTGCAAACAAAACGTCGACATTCTCATAGGAGATGGAGTTCCAAGCCTACGCTCATGACGATACGTACGAAGCAGTCCAAAAAATTCTCGTTGTGAAACACGACAAAGGAAAAGGCGAGAAACATGCCTCTGGCGTAAGCAGCGACGAAACCCCTCCATATGTCTTCCAAACCGTTACAGTGCGATGACCACTCAACGTTCCCCGTTAACACGGTACACGACACGAGACTATCTCACCTTGGAAAAGAGCATGAGGAAAATCACTCCGCAAACACAGACCGCGACTTGTCGGTATCCACTCTTTCTCAACTTGGGCGCCACCTGTCACCAGGAAACGACGCAACCAAGCGAGACACGGCAGGGCCGGGGCAGCCACGCATGCGACAGCGCGTCGATGTGCTAGTGCAACAAGAGTAGTGAGGGGGGACCACACAGCGAAGGGCTTCACATAAAACCAAGCGCAATTCACCAGTTCCACCTCCGGATATCATGATCAGAGCATGAACAGAGGCGTGGAGCATTCTTCTTGGCCGAATTTCGACCCTTCAAAACATGGTTCGGTGGGGTTGCAAAGGAGGGCAGGAAGTCCGCCTTTACGGGAGAGGGGATCGAGGGGATTGCATAATCTACCGTACGAAGTTCGAAGCGCGTTTAAACGCTTGTCAGTTCTCGTGGCCGACCCCCCCCCCCTCTTCGACAAGAGCCATGAAGCCCTTAGGCGTCCTTCATAATCGCTATTGGTTAATTGTTGCCGACAGAAGTGGGGAATCCAGGCGGCCGGCGGGGACACAGTTGTACTGTTCCGCAAGTCGTCGATGATCTTCGGTTTTAATGCTCCTGCATACGAAAGCGGGAATATCGAGGCTACAGAGAGACGACCCCGTACCACCACCTGTTTAACAGCTGACACAGCGCCGCACCGAGCATTCCACAGCGAAGGCAACGCAATCCCTAACGCCGTGCGCACATAACCGGGCAATAAGCTGCGCGCGCCGGGGCTGAGCGACTTACATGAACCAGCAGGATGCCCGACAACCCGCACATGAGCGTCATGATTCCGGTGATGAAACCCTCTGCCACAAACTGCACATTGGACTGCGTCGGCAAAGGCGGCAAAGAAGAGGCACGACCAGGAGAGCGAAACAATGGGGAGGAGAGATTAAAGGAACAGCGCTTCGATGGGAGATGGAAGCCTGTGCCGATGTACGCACAACGGCGGCTTCATCCATCCGAACAAACTTGGGCTCCAGCGAATTTCAATCGGAAAAAAAGCCAAGGTGACCCTGACAAGGTTAAGTGCGGCACCAGATCCCCCTGTCTCATGGAGCACCGTGTTGGGTAGTGGGTGCTTAGCATCAGAGGCTGTGGAGTAAATGTTGACTCCAGACCATGTTATCCACGAGTGAACAGCAGGGCAAGCAAGCCCTGCACACTACAAAGACAAGGGTCTGCCCTTCCACATACCAACATGATTCACGAAACTCGTCTCTAGTGCTGAGTGCACCTAAACCGGTACCACAAAAAAGCACAGCGGTAGCTTTACATAGAGCAGACTTTGGGAACCCGTCCATGGCCAAGCAAGGGGACCTCTTTGGGGGTTGAACACCGTGCGTACCTGGGGATGGAACCACATGATGAACCCGTCTTGCTTTACCATGAACGGGGCCGGGTTACGGATGATATCGTACACGCCCCCGCTAATACCGAACGTGTACACCAACAACGATATGGCGAGCCAGAGGTACTTGTTTCGAATGACCCGGAGCACAGCACCTGGAACATCCAAAGGGCGGCGTGAATGGAAGGGGGAACAAGGGAAGAGCGGAAGGGGTGGGAGTATACTCGAGATGCTCCCCAACATTGCTGTAAGAAGGCGAAACCGGCTTGTCGACCATGCTCCGAAGGAGACCGAAGGAGGACCCTCGCACACACACCATGACACGACGGGCGGGTATGCATTGCCGGCACGGCGCTCGTAGGCAAAAGGTAGCTGTTGTCTGCATCCTTAGGGAGGACAAAAAACGCGGCATTTGAATAGTATAAGCACTGGATTAGAGGACCAACTCGTTCCGCTCAAGGCGGCACGGTGCCTTACCCAGGTTGGAGAGAATCGGCTTGACAGCGAGGGCGGCCAGCACCAACAGCCCTACCAGGATGATCATCACCGGGGGCTCCGGCCTGGGTCAGACCAAAATAAAAAACACCCGCCGGCACGATTTTCATGTTCTTTGGTAGTGGTGTGATATATTTCCGTAGGATTATAGAGAATAAACAATCTCAGAAACGATCGTACAACAACACACGTGGAAGAGAAAAACACTGTCAGAAACAATTTGCACCACAACACACGTAGCGGCAAAACACTGTCAGAAGCAATCGCACCACGACGCATGTTGTAGAGAAAAAACAATGTCACCAAACAATCGCACATCAACGTATTTGCTCACAGGTACAAACAAAGACAAGCACATGAGGACCAATACACGGTTACAATACACGGTTTGGGGCTGCCGTACCTGACGATAGGGAAGGACACGCTGGTCTTCTCCTTCACGAATCGCGCCATGTCTTCGGCCTTCACCTGGCCAGCCATGTGCATGTGCTGGGACTGGTCTATCACGTAGCGGCCGCCGTCCCCCTCCGCTAGCGCCGGGGGGAAGGGCACAATCTTCGGGACAGTCTGGAGGCCCAGCTGGAGAGACAGGGAAGGGGGGTGGGGGGTGGGGGGGGGTACTCATAGTCATGCATGCCGTCGTTAGACAATTGATCTCGCATCCCTACAAAGCCGGGACGGAGCACGCCGGGTTCTCACCGGTCCAGGCTCTCACATCACCAGGCGGGAAGCGCCGTGAGATATTCGGCGAGTCGCATGAAGGGTGCGCTGCATCCTGCTAAGGGTTTTCGGCATCTTGTGCTTACTNAGACCCCGCACAACATTGTCTACTCGACCACCATTGGTTACCGCAAAAAAAAAGAGGTAAAAAAAAGCCAGGAACTTGATTGCCGAGTTCACGAAGGGAATTGGCTTGTTTTACAACGTCGTTGCCAAGCG